AGACCATGTAGTTAATCTTCAATTGCCCTGGTAAATACATACCACACTTTTAAGTTTATTGTTACTTCCCCTTTCTTCTTTTCGTCCCAATTTTAAAGTTGATTTAACTATTGACCGAGAAGAAGACGACTCGAAAGCTGGGACAATACGTTTATTCGTCTGACGTTATTGTCAAGACATCTGTGCAGTCCCAGCGATCGAGTCGTCTTCTTCTCAATTACTTCCTGGGACTCGCATGTTGGCTTGTATAACTATTGACCATTTGCCACGTTAACATGACCTCGCTATTATAGATTTTGTGAAAATTCAAAATGATGTGTTCTCAAATTGCTTCGTTGTTTATGCACAGAGAGGACGCAGTGGATAAGCTCTCTTGAGATTTATTCGCGCAAATAAGTTCTGCTGTTTTGACCTGCTTCAAAATATGTGAACGTCCTAGTTAGCCAGTTTGGAGAATTTGGGGCAGTCTAAAATAGGGGTCTTGTCTGAAATGCGACGCGACGCGTCTTGTTAAAGTCTCCACTTCGCACGATCTGCACTTTTTAGCAGCCCTTTTTATAAGTAATTGCATCTTGTCGCGAAATGGCATCCGCAGAATTCAACCTACCTAGCAGGCTGTTTGCCCAGGATCGATTTGCATAGGGCTATCAACATGCAGGCGTAATCAGCAAGCGTACAGAAAAGCTGTTACTTTCCTGCACTCGAAATAGTACCCTTTTGAATTTCGATAACGTGGAATTTTCTGCACTTCAACCCTAATTAAACAAAAGGCAGGAGCAGTTGGCTTGTCTTGAGTGTCTCAGTATAGAGCGAAACTGGTCCTTAGCGATTGTTTTTGCTTTTGAATCGCAACCTAGTGTAGAGTCCAGGGGATTGCCGGTGCAGGGTAGTCTGTGACCATCTTCCTTGTTTGCTGTTGTATGTACGGAGTCCAAATGGATATTTTCAGCTGATTTATAACATTTCTCAGCGCTTTCTTTACGCGTTAACCATCCGATAATGCAATTCCAGTGTCCACATCCATGTAAGCTGAGATTCTTGTGCGCACTTCCTCCTTCATACGAATGCGTCATGAGATTTGGCGTTTTCCATCAGCACCTGCAGCAGCCTACTCCGTTTTAGGACCGGTATGCAACCATTGCGGTGCTTTATATGCACTGAAGTGGGCTTGAGCAGCCATTCCGTCTTTTTCAAAAATCGTCATTATTTCTGAAGCTTTACCAGTTGAATATGCAATTAGGAGCCCCAAATTATCCCTATGTTGAAGCCGACCATGCGCTGAATGGCTGCAGGGTTACATTGTTTGCGCGGTGTTATTGAACACGTCAGTAACGGTCATGCTGTTTACTCTATCATGTGGACATACTGTTCTGTTTAACTCCCACCTTATTCCCGCCTTTAATCTAGCATGTCAGACAAAATGCAACCCACAGATCCCTCCGATTGTTGGTTGCCGGAGAAGTCCTTCAAACACCGAAACTCTGTCCTGACAGACCTCTTCAAGATCTCCCATATTCGGTCCGTCTACCACATCTTTGTGGCCATTCTCATCATCTTCTCCCTCAATACCATGCTCTCCGATCTGGTGGAGAAGGGTGGTATTGTGCACACCTACCACCTGGATCTCTTCATTTGGGTGTTTCGCGGCCTCTACGATGCCTTTGTGTGTTGGCTTGCCATGTTCATCGGTACTAGCCTCGTGGTGTATGTAACCTTTCTCGTCTGGTCAACCTGTCGATCGCCGACTCCCACGATGAACAGACTAGACTGGGTCTTTCTGGCCCTCTACATCCTATACCAGGTAATCTCTCGACCTGAACCATGTTTGTATCTATTATTTCCTGTGTTGTTGCCAAGTTGTCTTACACCGGGCTAGATGTGTCGCGTTCGCACCTTAACTCTGTCAATAGTACGCTTTATGTCTGCTTTAGGACTGTCCACCTTTAGACCTCCCGGAGTTTACTACCTACTTGCCCATGTCTCTAGCCTGCGGTTGCCCCATCTTTAGAAGGCAGGTCAAGTAATAACTGGTGGGCGTATGTCTAAATAGCCGCCTCCTTTTTCTCCGCCGACACCTCATCT